AAAATGTTTAGAACAAAATTCAGTGACTACAGAGGGCGTTAATAGACACACACACACACACCCTTCACTTGCCTTAATGATCCGTAGGTTTCACCTTTGTGAAATGAGTGGCCTCATTGCTTCCCAGCCGCACACCTCAACTCTCCCGCCTTATCTCGCTGTCCGTTCACCCCTACAGTTTACCCTTGTCCTCCAAACACACCAGACTCCCTATCTCAAGTCCAAAGTCACAGGGCATCCCCTTTTCTTGCAAGCCGCTTTGACTAGCTTCTGAGGAGACAGGTGAACACAGGCTCCTGGGGCCAGCCCTGAGAGTCCCGGCCTCAGGCGATCAGCAGCCAGGGGTGCCTCAGGACTTCAGGGCTGCTGGCCTGGTGCAAAATCTGGTGGGAAAGCCGGAAAGCGAAGAGCCACAGAGTTGCCACCAGGTCGTCACCCTCGGCCAGCAGCCGGGAAGCCGGGGAGCGCACATGCGGTCCTGTGGTAAACCGTGCAGGAGTCCTAGGAGGCGCGATGCCGCCCATCTTCACTGAAGGCAGGTCAGCCCAGGACCGCCGGCCTGACTCGCTCGGGACCCCCGAGCTGAGCAGAAGCTTCCAGAAAGAGCGCCAGGCTGGGGCAGCTGAGGCCGCGCGAGCACGCACACTACAGCAAGGCCAGGCCTCTCCCGCTCACGACCGACCCCTGGAGGCAGGCAGCCCTGTAAGAGCTTATCCCCCGTGAGCCTCGGCCAGGCCTCCCCGCCCACGCAGCTTGCTTCCACTATCTGCTGTCCAATGCCGAGTAGATTCCGGGCTGGGCGGACCGCCGAGCCTTGTGGGAAATGGAGTCCGGATTGAGAGGATGCTGGGAGTCGTAGTCCTTTTCTTGTTGCACGTGGGTTCTCCCCAAGAGGCTTCTGACCCCTATGGCCTCTGAGGCTTCTGGTTTGGGTGGGTGTACCCGGCACGTGGGTTACGTTTGTCTGGAGTATCTCTGGTTCAGGAACCTCAAGCGGGAGTTGCTCAAGAAAAGCATTTATTCTATGCGATAAGTTGACAGTGAGAAGGTATAACGTTCTTGAGAAGCAGTTTGCCAGGGTGTTTCAAGCAGCACAAAAAGAGGAGGGGAGGTCCCTTCTTGCCCCTACATGTAAGCGACGTGCGTCTTAAACATTGGGAAATGGCAGTGAGCTCCTCTCTGAGGCAAAGAACTTAGTTCTAGAATGAGCAAAGTTCAGCTTAGGCCACAAAGACTCTTACTTGCTTGCTCGGCTGTTTGTGCTTTTGGCTGCTCCCCATTCCTGGAGGCCCAACCCCCTCTGAGTCCAGTGTTGCACGTGTACGCCATTCTGCCAGAGTGAACTTCTTAATCCCATGCTGTGTCAACCAGATAAAAGATGTGAGATGCCATGCATGAGCACACGTGGAACTCCATGTGCAAAACCATCCCGATGCCCACACTTACCCAAGGGCCACTAACTCATGCACACACCCCCTGTGACGCACCAGCATGCCAACCCACACGGCCCCATCTCTGAGCATGTGTGTGCACACACTCCCTGCTCCAAACTCTTGGCATAAAGAGCCTCGGCCACTGGCACAGCCAAGGCCTCTGCACGTCCTCCCTGGGCCTCTGTTTCTGGAAGTGTTACCCAAAGCTCAGCCTTCAGCTCTCCTCCTCACTGCATCCACTGTCCATCTGGTGCTCTGACCGTCCTGCTTACCTGCCCAGCCCCCTGGCCTGGCAGGAGGGGCTTGAATGCAGGGCAGATGGGGAGTGTCTGGGTGTGCTTGCTGAGCGTCTTCCTGGAACATGCTTTGCATGTGTCACTGTCATGAGAGGTGATGAGAGCTTGTACCTGCTTCCTGGGGAAACACTCATCTTTATAGCTGTACTTTAAAAAAATATTTATTTTTATTGGAAAGTTGTATTTACAGAGAGAGAGACAGAGAGAAAGAACCTCCATCCACTGGTTCACTCCGTGAGTGGTTGCAATGGCTGAAATTGAGACGATGTTAAGCCAGGAACCAGGAGCCAGGGGTCTCTTCTGGGTCTCTCACGCGGGTGCACTCTTTTGAAGGAGAAAGTAAAACCCAATCATGGACCCCCTCCCCCGCCCCCGACTCAGAGGTTTACTAGCCGCAGATCATCCAAGCCAGGGTCTGGTTGCCCACTGAGTTGGTCTGGGCTGCCAATGGAGGAGACCCAAAGGGCCTGTGCCCTCAGGGTGTTGCAAGCCTCCAGCAGGAGCTGCTCAGAGGTGTCATTAGGACACAAGGAGAGGAGGCAGTAGGAAGTAGTATTACCTCCCATCCTTGCTCCCTAAGAAGCAGCTGACCAGGGCTCTTATGGAAGGGGCTAAGGAGGGTCCAGGATAGAGAAAAGAAGTTGTGGGTTGTAGGGGACCCTTCCTGCTCAAGCAATACGTGTGTTCACATCCCCTTCAAAATGTTGACTCGGGCCTCAGTATTAGGGTGCAGCATGAGTTAAGCTGCTCTCTGCCATGTCAGTAGCCAGCCCCATCCTGGAACGCTGATTCAAGCCCAGCTGCTCTGTGTCCAATCCAGCCCCCTGTTAATGCAGCTGGAAGAGCAGTGAATGCCTAAAACCCCTGCAGGAGGCTCACATGGAGTTCCTGGCTCCTAACCCTGTTCTGGTTGTTAGGGCCATTTGGGGAGTCACCCATTTCATGGAGGATTCTCTCTCTTGCCGTCTCTCCCTCTTATTCCACTTTTCAAATGAATTTTAGAAATAATAAATCTGACTCGTACCTGTTTGGCATCTCTTTGTCCATGTGGGGTCTGGCCCCTCGGAGGATAAGTCAAGCTAGATCGACCTGGAACATCCTCTGGGGAGGAAGCTCAAGGAGAGGCAGAGTTACTGCCTGAGCCCCAGGCTCCTTTTGCCTAAGCCTATGCTTTCAGTTACCCCGGGGCTGGGACATCCGGGACCAGCATGCCAGCAGGTTTGATAGCTAGTAGGGTATGGTGCTGTGTCTTGCTGTATCCTCATGGGGGGCGGGGAGAGGGCAGGGAGCCTCCTTGCCCTTTCTGGTGCAGACACTGACACCACGCAGGAGGGCACAGTCTTTCCCAAAGGTCCCAGATCTTCTACTTTTTAAAAAATTATTTTTATTTTTAGATTTTTTTCCATTTATTTTGAAGGCTGAGAGCCAGACATCGAGAAATCTTCTATCTCCTGATTCACTCCTTAAATGCTGGCAACAGTCAGGCCCCCGGCCAAAGAGATGCCAGGAACTCCACCTGGTGTTCCACATGGGTGGCAACGACCCAGCAGCTTGAGCTATCACCTGCTGCCTCCTGGGGCTTGGAGTTAGCAGGAAGCTGAAAGCAGGAGCAGAGCTGGAACTCCAAGCCAGGCGCTCGAATGTAGGAGGCAGGTGTCATCTTAACCCCGCCCATCCTGCCTCTTAATGCATCCAACGTAGGAACTTCAGGTGGCTCAGGATGGGGAGAAAAGAGATTATGGGGGGAGGACAGGGTGGCCTCTCCCGCAGCTCACGCCTCTCTCACTTAGAGCCAGGCTTCAGTCACTCTAGGGCCACACTGGACAGCCATCCAGCCAGCCAGTTAGAGCCAGTGCAGGCTTGTCAGATGTTCTGCTATTCGGGGTTAGTAGGTGAGTTCGAAATCCAGTAGGTTAAGTGAGTGATTTGTGGTTTTGAGACTTAACCAGTTGCTCAGGATCCATGTTTTCAAATCGCATGGTCCCTCAGGAGTCCCAGCAGAAGGTCAGTTTCATGGCCTGCCTGTTAATCAGGCTGTTAAAAATGCTGAGCAGCTGGTTCATAGATGGCACAAAGGGCAGCTGGACAAGACTGTCTGGCTCCCGGGTTACCCTCTGCTCACTACAGCTGAAGATGACCCAGGTAGGAGAGATCTTAAACGCCCCCTGAACCACCAGAGGGAGCAAGCGAGACTCAGAGCAAGGGCCAGGAGGAGTTGCCACCAGAAGGAGCTGTGGCGCCTCTTTACATCACGCTTTGTTAAGGGCGGTGGGCTGCACTTCAATTTGCAGGGAGCCCCCCGGGACGCTGGGGAGCTCCTGGGGAGCTCTCAACCTAGGCCTGCTCAACTGGGACCTGGGAGCAGGCCAGCAGCTGCTCACCAGGGAGAAGGGCTGGCTCTCCCGGGCACACCAGCTATGGCAGGTGGCAGGGAAGGTGTTATCCCCTGGGGTTATGACTGTTGTGAATCTAAGGCTGGCATTTCAACGATGATGGATGAGATCGTGATTTAACAGCGCTGCTCCTGCGGTTTTCAGCCTTTCTCTTGTAGCACCCGCTGCAGCTGAGCTACATAGCAGGCCGACAGCAAGCTGCTGCTGCTGAGAAGCCGCAAGGTCAGCCATGCAGCAGGCAGTGGGATCCTCAGGCCTGGCACTGCCTGCAAGGTGAAGATCCGCAAGCTCAGCTAGTACATCTCTTGGTACTTTCACATGAGACACCTGTGTTATGACTCCACTCTGAGAGGACACAGAGCTCTTGGAGGCTGTGGGAGACTTGGCAGGCCCTCATTTCATGCTGATGGCTTGGGGGCATAACACCCTGTTAGGAGGAGCCACCTGCCAGGCTGTATTTTCCCTGAGATAGATCCTGGACCCTGTCTGCAGGTCATTTTCCTTTGCCTCTATTGGCCTATCTCATCATCTGTGCCTTTTGCTCATTTCGCGTTCACATGCACTGTGATACTTTGATTCATTTGTGAGCAACCTGCCTCACTTGGTCACCTGATAAAAGCTGAGCGATCTGCCTCTCAGGGAAAAGTTAAAATCTTGGAAGTTGAAGTTGTCACCAGGTACTAGGGGAAACTACTCCCTCTATGGCTGTCTTAGGATGCCAATGGGAAGTGGCTCCCCGAAAGCAGAGGCCTCAAGAGACAGGTCCGCTCTCAGGGCAGGTACATTAGAGTCCAAGAAGCAAACCAACTAACCAACACTGCTTCTCACTTCAACTGGAGTGATTTGTACACCCAGAACATCAGTCGTGCAGTGCAAAATACTCTTCACAAATTTATTTGTAGACAGACATCTTCAAATGGGACACTGGGCAAAAATGAAAGTGACAAGGGTGGAATGCCAGGGACCGGGAGAACCTCACTGAACTTTACACTTCTTCCAAGAGAACTAGCACATTAGTTCAGAAATCACAGGGTTAATTTTAATTGTTTCCAATGTATAAAATACCATACAAAGATTAATTAAACTATCTAGTAACAAAGTTTTTTGTTGTTCTAAAAATGTATTTAAAAAGTCAACTAGAATTTGCCATTTTCTTGATGAAAACACTTTAAAAGTGATCCATTTCTACGACTTCCCAAAGAATGGACCTATAAGAAAGGGTTTGAAATCAGCCTCTTTCTCTCCACTAGGCGGGTAGAGAAAATAGAACACTACGAATAGGGACACATCTAAAACTAGTCTTAGAAAATATTTTCCTAGACTATAAAAATACTAAGCAGAATACAAAAAGTTCAGCCTTTATGGCAAAGAGACTACAGCAGACAGATATGGAAAACGTACCCAACAGTACTTGTACCACAATCATCGTTAACATCAAGTATTACCCTAATCGCCTTTCTACGATTCACCCTGATTTGGTGCCTAAGCCCCCTCTAGGTGTGTGAAAAGTGTGTGGGGGGAAGGCGGGGGGGGAGCAGATAGACCAAACACTGTGTGTTTTTTTTAATCAAAGATGCTGGAGGAACCATTGAGTTGCTCTTGGCATTCAATTGGCTCTGCAATGCTGTGTGTGCAACCATAGCGGACCACGGGTTGGCAGATGACAGCCTGGGAACTAAATGCGCCCCCTCCCCTTTGCCCATCTCGTACGACTTCATGTGTGGCTGGCAGACACATGCCAGAGTAGAGGAACTACAGCAGAGGCTGTATGCAGTAGCCCCTGCGTCCACGTACACAAAAACGTTTACTGAATGGCCCTCCGCAGTCAAGTCTGCCAACCCTGTTTCTGGAAAAATCACTTGGGGCAATCATGACCAAAGACTGAGGTCAAACTTTCCAAGATGGAGACTGCTTTGGCAGAGGGTCTCCACTTCTATGCTTGGTCCTGTGTGCAGGCCAGACTGGTGGCCTTGGGTACTGCAGTGTGCCTCAGGTCTGCTGTGAGAAAGTACCAGCATTTTTCTACCAACTGGCCATTTTGTACCAACATGGCAGCAACATACACACTCCCTGTTTAACCCGAACCATGTACCTGGCTCCCCAGCACAATCTGTAACCTTTAAAACCAAACACACCCAGGGGCAGAGGGGAAAGTGGTGCCTCCCACCTCAGACCCCTTCCGTGTGACAAGCGTCATAGTAATTAGTGCTACCGCTCTCCAGGGCGGCGAACATGTCCCTCCTGACGAAGCGCACGAGGTTCTCCAGAGGGCACATGGGCTTGGCCGAACGCTTGTGGTGGTCCCGGCAGAAGGAGGTGAGGGATGTGACGTCGCCGCCGTTGTAGAGGACTCGGATGGCATGCTGTGTGGGCTTTCCTCGGTCCTGCCACAGCTCGAAGATGAGTCTGGCCGCAAACCTTGGGAACCTGGCTTCTTCGAGCCCCAAGGCGCTGAGCACAGGGGACAGGGTGACATCGTGGGCCGAGTAGAGGGCAAAGAGTTCGTCCTTTCCGCCCTCGGCGGTGCGCTGCATGCGGGCCACGGTCTGGTTCAGGATGGGGTGGGCGCCCAGCAGTGAGTAGCCCAGGTACAGCTTCTTCTCCCGCCGCTCTCTCTCGTCTTCTATCTGATGCATCTTGATCACCCTGAAGTGCTCCATGCCAATGCAGCCGTGGCGGGTGCAGGGGAAGCTGATGTTGTGGCAGAAGTGGCAGAGCATGGAGTCAATGGGATTGGCGGCTCGCAGCTGCTTGGTTGGGACGTCCACGATCCTGGCCATCTCCCCGTAGGTCCTCTCCAGCTGGCTGTTTTTCAAGCGCAGGAGGTACTGCCGACGCTGCTCCTTCTCCAGATACTGGTTCCTCGCTGGGCAGTAGCAGCTTCCAGAACAGAACAAGGCGCTTGGCTGGTGCCTGAAATAAATCTTTTTCCAGTCGAAATCAGGCAGAAACCCATAGAGCAGGGCCAGCCCGCTCTGGAGGGTGCGGCTTTTGCCAGTGGTCTCCAGGTACAGCTGGCTTGGCACCCAGTCGCTGGGCAGTAGTCTGTGTTTCTTGAGATAGATGTCTCTCAGCAGCTGGCCGTTCTGCAGATGCTGCACCACGCCTGAAACACAGGGATGCAATGTGCTGCTTACTCCCAGCTGAGCGCAGGCAGGCCGAGGCAGCCGCCAGCTTGGGAGCTTCCCAGACCGATGCAAGGAGGGTGATCTACGAGCCTGGGGGTAGGGGGCCCTGTCCTCTGTGCATGGCCCCTGGCGGGGAGCACAAAGACCAACCACCTTGCTCCTTTGTCCCTTCCCTAAGGAAATGCGGCCATGGGGGGCTTCAGAGGGCAGAAATCACACAAGTGATGCAAACCCAGCAAGCAGATGGCATGGGCTGCTGGGTAACATCAGCCACTGAGAGGCTAGCTCCCCATCTTCCTGCATCTGCCCAACCCAAAGTCCCCAGGCAGCATGCGGAGGGCTGATCTGTTGCATCCTGCTGGGGTTAGTGGATCGCCATCAACAGGGACACGCCATGCTGGCCACATGAAACCACCTCCCTGTGGCCACAGAATACCCAGACATGTGGATTTCCAAATGGGGTTTTCTCAGGCACTGACATTAATTCCCTTTTTCACTGCCATTCTGTGAACTTTCTGAACAAGCCTCCTGTTTGAAAAAGGTCACCTTGACTGTGGTACACACGCAGACGTACACTATGCCTTCTAAATTAAGAAAGAAGGAACAGGGAATAATGGGTCTGGGGAGATGCCTGTGTTTTGCTTCCTGGAGTTTTGGGGGGGCTGCATGAAGACTAGGGTTGACAGTTCTCTGGGGGGCAGAGGACACAGTGACGAGGTGGGCAGAACATGGGAATGGGGGTGCACGTGACTACTGCACGACAGCAAGTTCTCTGGAAGAAATGAAGTCTCACCTTCTGTCAGGTGAAGGCTTATCCGCAGCCTGTGGCCTGCAGGGCGCGAGGGGACACAGGTGTATCCCTCACGTCGGCTCTGGGCCAGCCATGCCTTTCACAGAGCATGCACAGTTTGGCTACAGAGAGTGGGCCAGGCGGAAGTGCATGGGTCTAGGAAGGGGGAAGAGATGGGTCTCAGCCATGGGACACTGAGAGCAGGCGGGGGCCACTCCGGGAGCCCAGCCACGGTCTCTGCATCTCCACCAAGATGGACCTGAGCAGCAGACCACAACATAAAGACTGTGTGTCTGGCTGTGTCTTAGACCATGCGGAGGAAGACTGCACTGCTACTGTGGGTCATCTCCCACAGAGCTAGTCAAGAAGGCAAAGGCAAGGCCTTCACCACACCTCACAGTCAGGGCCGAGTGAGGCCAAAGCCAGGAGCTGTGGTGACCATGTGGGGGCTGCCACCTGCTGCCTCCCAGGGAGTGTAGTCTCCCAAGCAGGCACTCTGGTGTCAGCTGCAGCCATCCCAGGCGCAGTCCCAACTGCCAAATGCCTGTAACTGTTTCCCACAAGCCCTGATACAATCCCTGTGTTGTCATCCTTATCTGATAGGTGAAGAATGGCCCTAAGCCATTCTGCCCCCATAGCTGCTCTTTCCAACATAGCCTCCCAGCACAGCCTGCATTTTCCTTGGTTGGGGTGTTCCCAGCTCAGCAACTGCAGAAATCCTCACCCCACATCTGGCTCCACCCCCTTCTTCGGTCACACTTATCACTGCTCCCGCAGTGTTCCAGGCTGCACTGGCTGCACCGCCAGAGGCCCCCTCACACACTGGCACAGGTGCTGGGCTCCTCTCATGTTTCCGCTCTGCTTCTTGGCCTCAGCTTACAGGTCTGTTGGACCCAGGGCCTGCTGTGTCGATTCCCTAAGAGCCCACAGTTTCCAGCTTTAGCATTCATTCCTGCTTGTGTGCTGCCCCACTACAGCTGCAGGATCCTTGGGCACAGGCAGGAAAAGGTCCTCCTCTCTGCCACCCTCCTATGCTAGCTGCTCTCAAGGCCTCTTAAAAGGGGTGAGCACGAGCAAGTGATCTCACACAGTAACTGCAGGGACCCCAAGTGTGCTGGTTACAAATGCTTATGATGACAGGTTTTTAACATTTAAAATATAAGATGGGGGCCTGGCACGGTAGCCTAGTGACCAAAGTGCTCGCCTTGCACGTGTTGAGATCCCACATGGGCGCCAGTTTACATCCCAGCAGCTCCGCTTCCTATCCAGCTCCCTGCTTGTGGCCTGGGAAAGCAGTGGAGGATGGCCCAAACCTTGGGACCCTGCACCCGCGTGGGAGACCCAGACGCTCCTGGCTTCGGATCGGTTCAGCTCCAGCTGGACCTCCATAGCCTTTAGTCAGCCCCTTTCTCATGTGCATCATTAACCTCATAAACACTACCTTCCAAACCCGGGACTCAGCCGTGCTGGCTATAACACAGACACCCGAAGCAGCAGGACCAGTTTAGTGAGATGCTGCAGGGATTACAGATGGTTCAAGCTCTGCTTCCTTCTGGTCGCCTTGCTCAGTCTGTCTCCATGAACAAGCCCTGTCTTTGGGGGTGTGGAAACAGAAAGGCTGCTTCTTATGTCTAAATAAATGCTACATTGACTCTGAGGTCCCTGAGGTGCCAGTGCCCAGAGGATGTACTCTGAGTGTGTGCATGCCAGGGGAAGTGTTGAGGGTCATAGGCTTGGAATCCACTCCTGCCCCACCTGTGCGGTCCTCTCTGCCCACCTGTGACACTCACCTAGCATCACCTGGAACCTGAGAGGGGGCAGTATTGCCTCCTAAGCCTGCACAGAGGCCCACGATAGGGTCGTGTGCTTCCATTGCTCTTGCACTCTGACTCTTGGCCTCTCCAGGACCTGCTTGCTCTCTGGCTTCCCGCAGACAGACTCCAAGGACAGGTAGGCCCTGAACATGGCCCCTGTAGGTCTCTATTCCTCACCCTGTGTTCACTGCTTGGGCAAGTCAGAGAAGATGCAAATGATAAGGTGCTTTGTGTTTCTAATGTGTGTACTTTCAAGATTTCTAGGAGAGGTAAGGGCTAGCAGTCGTGGAATGTGACGGAGAGGCCAGGGAAAGGTGAATGTTTGCAGCCGTGTAAGTGTGCCCAGGTTGTTCGCAGTATGTCTCTTAGGATAACTGATACTACTGGAGACGCTGGCACATAGATCTTAACAGATGGACTTCACGATGATGACCATTTGTTCCTCTCAGCATTTTGATTCAGATTGTCATTTGCTAATATCTACTGGGCACTGCTATCACCAAGCTTGGTTAATAGACTCCTTAATACATCCTAAATTTGTCTGGCATGATCTCTCTCGCACCGCGCAACAGAAGTGCGGGTGGGAGGAGGCATACGTACCTGTCTGCGTGAGCTCCCCCATCTCACACAGTGGGTGGTTGGGGTAGAGAGGCAGGGAGTTGAGGGGGCTTTCGAAAGAGGCTCCGGATCCTTTTGACATGTGGCTCACGAAAGCTTCCAGCTTTGGGTGGTACGGCTTCCTGGAAAGACGGCATGTGGGATGAGTGATCCGAGGGTCCCGGAATAGCCCCCAGCTGTTTCTAGCTCTAGCAGAAGCAGCAGCCCATGTACATGTGCCACAGCCCTGAGCATCTTCAGCAACAGGAACCTGCACAAGTATCTCCCAAATCTGCGATTCCTTGGGATAGAACCATCGTTGCCTCTGCTGAACTCACGCTGGAGGATTTGGTTCTGCTCTTCCTCCACCTTTCTGCATCACCTCTGGGGCTCCCCTGCCAGGACGCTGATGCCAGGCATCCCAGCCATCCATGCTAGCCTGGGAGCTGCTTTCATTCCCCCCGTCAAGCCCTGCCTGGGTCCCCTGCCCCTCAACTTGGCCGAGTCCGCCTTTTGGGGCTTCTCCATCTTTTTCTCCTTTACCCTCACTGTCACTTGGCCTCAGGTCTCAGGTAACCCCTGTCTCGGCGGCAGTGGGCTCCTCACTCCCATGTGGACTTCAGGGGGTGTGGCCTTGTCAGTGTGTGCTGGCTCCGCCTCCTGCCAAGTAGATTATTCCCTGACCCTCTCCAAGAGTTCTGGTCACAGGAGGAAAATTAGCCACAAGCTTTGCCTCAAGTTGCCCAGCCTTTGGAAAACTGTTAGCAGAGCATGGCATCCATGATGTCCAGAGCTCTTTGACAGTGCACTATGTGTGCTGCCTGTATGCTCCATCGGCCAGAGTGGGCAGGCAGCACACATCTGCAAAGAGGTGGCCTGTATTTCTGCATGCAGAGCCAGTGCAGGTGCCATTTCTCTGAATAATGAAATGACCTGTGGACGCGCGCGCACACACACACACACACACACACACACACACACACACACACACACACACACGGCTGTCCCTGGGTCCTGCACCGGGGCTCTGCCTGGGTCTGTATCAGGGTTTTCCCTGGATTCTGTACTAGGGCTCTCTCTGGGTTCTGTACTAGGGCTCTCCCTGGGTTCCACACAGAGCTGAAGCGAGCAGAGCTTGGAGACTAGCAGCGTGGCTATCATATGACAGTATTCTAGACAGCTCTCCTAGCTGGGAATGGGAATGAATTCATGCCATGTTTTATTGGTGTTCTTATTCATTCCTTCTTTAGTGTTACAGAGAAAGTGGAACAGAAAAGAGAGCTTCCTTCTACTGGCTTACTCCCCCCAGATGACCTCAATTACTTTCCAGGGGCCTTCGCAGGAAGTTGACTGAGAGTGGAGCAGCTAGACAGGCACCCCATTTGGGATGCTTGTGTGGGTGGTGGCTTACCCCAGTATACCACAGCACCGGTCCCTGGTTAACAAACATTTCGACTCTACTACTATTTGTTTGCAGCCTTCCCCTTATATACTTCTTTTCAATGTGTGAGGCACTACTAAAGTCGGATCCAAACACAGGTACCATCCTCACATGCAGGGACGTTCCCAGAGAGTGAGCCCAGCGGGCCAGAGGACGAGGCAGCCACAGCAGGCACAGAGGCAAGAAAAGGGTAACCGTAGGCTCAGAAGGCCTCCGTGTAGACAGGAACAAAAGGCGCAGGAGTGGAGACAGCCTGGAGGTGGCAAGTGGTGTAGGTCTGGGGCCTCCCTGGAGCTGGACTCCACCGGGGACGTGTCCAGGCTTTGTTTGCAATCGGGTGAGCACTGGGCAGTGGCGAAGGCATAGATAAGCCTCACATGGTTTGAAGGGCAATGGTTTGCTGCATCTCCCCAGCCCCCATGGTGTCTGGCAGGGTGGAGGTCTGAGAAGCACCAGAGTGTAACTCCCATGTCAGGATGCAGCGTCCTTTGACATCCTGGTGCAGGGAGGCCAAGTAGGGTTCACCAGGCTGGTGCTGCCTGGAGCAGGCTGGCACCCCAGGAGCATTCCATCTTAATAACGTCATCCCACTGAGCAGCCCCGTCGGCTCCCTCACCTTCAATGAGCTCCACTCATGCGTCCCCAGACGTGGCTGCCGAGGTCCAGCCCATCATTCTTTGCTAACTGCCTCTAATTTTAGCACCATGTCATTTCCATTCATATAAACTCTAGTCTGTCCAATTATTTTTTTTCATCCCCAGGGCTTTCAACCAAGAACAGGCTGTCACTACTCCTGGGGCAAGCATGAAGAGACTGAAGCAGGACCTCACGTCTGCCCAGCATTGCAGCTGCTAGCTCGCAGGGGTCACGTGTAGTCTCTCGCTGGTTCCTTACCCAGCCCTGCCTGGGGAACGGCAGCTACCCATTTCAGACAGGAGGTCAGGATTTGGACAGACTTATGACCTCAATTGAAGAACTGGCCAGCATGTGGATTCCTAACCTGGTACTTGCTGCTCCATGTCCCAGAGGTTTCTCCAAAGGCAGTGTGGGCCTGGGCTCAATCCACCGCATATTGGCCATGCTGCCTAGAGCAGGTGTCCCCGCCTCTGTAGGTCTTGGTCTTTTCCCATACAAGTCCACCTTGCTTCTGCTATCGGTGTGTGCTAAAAGAATGTAGGTCTCCACCCTGGCCTGTAATTTTCCATTGTACGAAAACAGCAAATTCTTTAAAAAGATAAAAAATAAAGATGACTGGTAGGAAAAGTGCACTTTACCTGTTGGCCACCAGGGTGCAGTCAATCTCTGGTCGCTTTGTTTTGGGAATGGCATACAGTGGGTACCTGTCTCCATGACGAATGAGCACATGCACTGAGACCAGCTTAAAATGATGCGGGGCGTGGCCTGCGAGACAGAAGTCACTCTGCAGAGGTCCGTCTTTTCAGAAGGCTTTGGGATGGTGGTGGGAAGGGGAGTGGGCAGGGGGTTGTGACCTGAGCACGCCTGTACTGGGAGGTGGCGCTCACCAGGAAAGTGCACAGCCACTGCCAAGGGGCTCTGGCTCACGTGGGGGTCACCCAGGAGCACAAAGGGGTTGGAAGGTCCTGGAGATGATAGGGAGGCAGAGCCCTGGGGAGGGACAGGGACCAGGATGCTGATGAGATGCGGGCGTGATTACCGACGTGCCCTCCCTCACGGCACAGACTTAAGGCCAGCCCCCCAGAAATGCTGCCAGTACGGCTTCTGCTTTCAATTGTTCATGAAGCCATGCAGGTATAGACGGGTAAATAGCAAGTGTAGGTAAGCAGGTAAATGCAGAGCCCCCTTGCCCTTTGGCCCAGTCTCAGGAAAGCAGATCCATGTAGAAGTCCTGCTTTCCAACATCTTTACAGCAAGGTGCTGTTCCTTCCAGCCAAGGCCTCATCAGGGATCCAGACTACCTATAGGTCGCCCTAGGAGTTGGGTGGCATCCCATCTCCCCCAAGGAGCCCTGTGTGGCCTGTGCCAGTCACCCGTCTTTTATGGCTTGGGAAGTCATTCAAGGGCCCAATCCGGTGGCAAGCCCAGGCCCTGAGTCCAGCTCACCCTTTCTTCACCACCATGCCTTACAGCTTGCAGAATGAGTTCCCTAAAAGGGTGTCCATCTGGGGACTAAGTCCCCCGGGGCTCGTGGCGCTGGCCAGGCCTACCTTCCATGCTGCGCTCAGCCACGCTTGGCAGGTTGCAGTACAAGAGAGCCTCATACACGGGGTCTGTCACAGGTGGTTCTGTCACAGGGTCGGGCAGGATTCTCTTCCGACTCTTGCTGCTTGCGCCATTCTTGGTGACCGAGACAGGTATCAGGTGCACTGTGAGGCAAACCAGGTGAGGTCACAGGGGGTAGGGGGAGGGGGTGGAAAGAAGGTCAGGTCCCTTTCTCACCCTGAGCTGACTGCCCTCCTTCTCTCCAAAGCCGCACACTGGGCCATCCCCGTTAAGAGTGCTACTTGACAAGGAAGGGATGACCACTGCACAGTACATTATTCCTTACAGCCTAACGACTGCATCCTCCCAGCCCTCTGTGGTGCACCTGCTAGGGGCTAGATGTGGAGTCTCATAAATTCAGTCAACACCATCTGTCCACTTGGTGGCTCAGCTTGGCAGTCCCCACAACACAGAAATGTGTGGCACAGCCAAGGGCCGATGCAGACACACCCATAAGAAGCAGCCCTGTGTGACATTTGCTCTTCTGACGTCAAGCAGAAGTTCCCACACTGCTGTCGGCTGTCCTGTGTGTGTGTGTGTGTGTGTGGCAGGGGGTAGCAGCACAGGCTTCCTAGAACTGCTTTTACAGCCTGTGCTCTCAGCAGCCATCGTGCCCACAAATCTAGTTAATGTCTAAAAGGTTTATTAATCACCATTACACATGCACGCATAAACACACATACCTGAATAATAGGTAGAGCAGGGACCAGCCATCTGTCTCAATCAATCTAAATGCCCTAATTTCTTCTACATAAATATTTAAAACTTCCTTCTGGCAAAGAGCTGCCATAAACCACGTTGAAAGACAAGTGATGTGCAGAGAAAAATGTCTGCATTGTAGTTAACAGACAGATGATGGAGCGCCAAAGTGCACAAGCATCCCTTCAACAGAAAAGAATCACTGAAGGATACCAAGAGGCCAATTACAGACAGACAGATACCGACGGCTCACAGACACGGGGGATCACACTCATGCCTGTCCGCAATTAAAGAAATGCAAAATAGAACAGGTGTAGGACATGACTTCCCTTGCCTCAGATTGGAAAGTCACATTTTCACGATAATTCTAAAATATCAGCAGGAGTGTAAATAACCCAAGACTTTCACGTTCTACAGATGAGAGTGGAAATGGAACTGCCTTTGGAAGGTGTGCTGTCTGCCAGTCACCACCACGGTGTGCTCCGTGCCTTATCCCTGGACCCACTGTTCCATGCTGGAATCAGCTTTGCACAGATGACAATTCCCACACACAAAACCCCATGGCCTCAGAGACCCAATGCAGTGCCGAGAGTGGTTATGGAAGGGAAAGTGGAGGATATAACGGCTCAGGGCTTGGGCCCCTCCACCATGTGGGAGACCAGGAGGGAGCTCCTGGCCTCCTTCTGCCAAGCCCTGGCTGTTGTGGCCACTTGGGGAATGAATCCATAGATCTAAGAACCATGTGTGTGTCCCTACTTCTTTCTGCCATTCTGCTTTTTAAATGAACAAATGAATGAATCTTAAAAAAAAACACAAATGTGATCACATGGCTGTCTGGTGTGTGCTTGCCATGGAAACACACAGGATAACTGGCAGAGTGTCCCTCACCCGGCAACAACAGCTTCCTTGGGCAAAGGGATGCGATGGGGCCCAAAAAGTATTTTTGTTGTTTCTTTTATTTTTATAAATATTGATACTGTTTTATACATCCATACATAGGCATATGCACATATATGTTGACAGGAAGTGCATGTCATGTGCTTTCTCTAGGTAAGGGAACATGTGTGTCATTCTACAATATGCAGATAGACACACACTCTTTGCAGTTAGTCCACCCCATTCATGGTTCGCATTACTAAAACCACCACCATACAACTGCAGGGCCGATCCCAGCTGGCCCTCTGACCACTCCTAGGTTCACTTTCATGTCCGCAGGTGGAGGGCTTAAAAGGGTGAACCCGAGGCTAGGTAATCACCCTAAGGGCTTACTGCAAGACTAAGGGAGTAAAGACTTGGCCCTGACCCAAGGTGGTATCTCAGTGGCCTGGCCCTCCCCGGCTGGTGGCAGCCACAGTCCTTCACTCTGCTCTTGAGAAAATCCACAGGATCTCAGCCTCTGGGTCACTCCTTGTAGGCAGGCCCTTCACACAGCGGTGTGTGTGATGAGTGACAGCTGGCTGTAGGCACCCAGTGGCAGGCCTCTGATTGGCTTCTTGGGAATGCTAGCAACAGTGTCCAACGACCCCTTGGACATCCAGGCAGTAGCAGGTCACTTGCAAACCACAGTAATGGCCAGGTCAGGACAGGTCCTTCCCCCCAGGGAGATCTCACCAGCTGCTGCCCTTGGTTCCTGGGTCCATCAGGGGTCATCACATTGACTGCTCTGCCATCAGTGCCTCCCTCAGGCAGCAGGACACGGTGTCCATCTACACGGGCGCCCTCCAGAGGAGTTCCCGCACTCAGAAGTTAGTCACACAGTCTCCCCAATTCCTCCTGGATCCCCACCCCACTCCTCTCTTACCCCATGCTTGCACCCTTTAATTGATCTCAGGAGTCACCTCTTCCAGGAAGGCCACCAGGAAACTCCCACACCTCTCTTACTAGTCCACCCAGATCCTGCTGTCATGACTGTCAGCACGGTATTTGTGACTGGGTACCCCTGTGGGGTGTCACCCAACCACCCAAAGCATCCAGACACCTGGAGACTATGCTTCATTTACATGTGCAATCCTGCTGACTGGCACGGTGTTCTACAAGCACCTGCTGAGCCAGGCCCTGTGCTCCTTGGATAAAGTATCTTACTGAATCCTCATGTGGGACTTGGGCCTGCAGTACCCCTGCTGACTGCATGTCTGGTGTCTGCACACCTGTGCACTCAGCCACCTGGAAGCCATTATTAGAGAGAGGAGCAGGAGGCACACAGCCCACAAGGGGGCAACCTTCTCAGTCACAGTGCCTCCTACACTCCCTGGTCATTGGTTTGGGGCTGCAGGTGCAGGAAGCATTGACCATGAAGGTGATGTGGAAGGTTAGTACCAGAGCCAGGCGAAAGTGTGACCTAGTCCATGAGCCTCAGCTCTGCGGCTGACGCCACCGCCTGGCATGGAGAGAGATGCCAATGGTGGCTCACTCATTCCAATTTCCACTGATTCTGGTGATAGCAGTGCCCAGTAGATATTAGCAAATGACAATCTGAATCAAAATGCTGAGAGGAACAAATGGTCATCATCATGACCCCACAGGGTGCCCATCAGCAGGAAGCTGGATGGGACGTGCAGCAGCTAGGATTTGGAACTGGGCACTCTGGTGTAGCAGTAAGCTAACCACTGTGCCTGCCCCATCCACTCCTCACGTCAGAGGAGAGAAGTCCCCCTTGCTGACTCAGAAGATACACACACATACTGTGAACATGAGACTTAAAAGCTCATAGAAAATGGGAGTGTGTTTGGGTGCAAAAATTCCACGTATAGTTGTTTTCATATTATTAGGGCTTTTTGGAAGACCTCCTCTTATGAATGGATTTCCAGTTTTAGAAAACACTTGCATTTTCCCATGAACTTTCAGAAACACCTGTGTGTACATTCCTATACAAAGGAAGCAGGTGTACTTTTACAGAGTTTAGGAGGGGCTTCTTCTGAAGAACACGGGCAGGTCTACAGGACCAGTGACCAAGAGGGCGCAAGGGCCATGGGAATCCTGCCCCCTCCTTTGCTTCCTGTTTAACTCATACTGCAACCGGCACCTTCAAACACACATCTCATCACCTTGGTCAATACCCCAATGAGAAATTCTCTTAAATGCTGGAAAAGAAGATAGAAGGAAATATTGGAGGATGGAGGGAAGTAGACAGAGTAACAAAAGAGAGGATGAGAACGAAACAGCGTTATTACCCTCACCCTGGAAGAAAAGCTGGAATGACCCATGATCACGAATGCAAATGTACCACTTAGAGCTTGCAGAAGGACCTGCTTCCCAAGCTCCTCCCCTTCCAGGACAATTACCATGTGAGTGATGGAAGCTCATCTGCCAGGGCGAGCTTGTCACTCTTTCACTCTAATTGGTCAGTGGGATACACAGCATTGAGATGGAAACCAAAATTAAAACATCCAGCCATCAAATGGAAAGCACCCCATCCCCCCGCAGAAAATACTAAGATTTATACAAAATGTTAACTTGAAAATTTCAGTGACAAGGGTGAAGTAGAGCTGACTGAATTCGGGCTAACACTGGAAGTGTTTGCTTCTGAGTTGCCTTCTTATTTTTGTGTCTGGCTCATGAAAATAAACGCCCAGGAAGAACCTCAGTGTGGCTTTAAAATCAAGCATCCTTTGTGTGAAAATCTGAGATTCCACAGACCTCACAATCTGAAACTTCGAGAGCTGATAGGACAGCACCAGTGGGAAAGCTACATCATGGGACTGCTTTACACACAGGACTGTGCGGACACTATATGGAGTTATCTTCAGGCCTTGTGCAGATGGGGGTCTACGAAACACAAGTGAACTTTGTGCTAACATTTAAGTTCCATCCCCAAGATATCTCACCACATGTATGCAAATATTCCATAGTTAGAAAGCTACCGTGTCTGAAAGCGGCTGGCTACCAGCATTTCAGGTGAGAGAGACTCAACCCATATACAGTCCACTAGACCTTGGTCTGTCCCCCAAACCTGCGGCAGGAAAACAGCGAAGGTCTGCACGAAGCCCAGCACGCATGACACCCTGTGGATCGTGCTCTCCTGCTTCAAACGCACTCAGTGCAGGAACTGAGGGTGACACAGTCCCCTGGCTGGGGGACTGGCTCAGCTGCCAAGCTCACTCTCAGCTAGTATCAGCTGGATCCACCATCTAGCACATGCTACAATGCTCACACTATGACAGAGCCGTCCCGTGCCCTTCTCGGAATACATCTCTGCTCTTAAATGTGCTGTGTGACCATCAATGTGTGCTATATTTCAAAAGCTGTGCAGCCCCCTTGCCAAATGGTGAAAGCAACATAAGGCCGGGCAGCCTTTTGGAATTGCCAGGGCCCTGGATTCTGACGACGGTGCCTCATGAGACCCTATGTTGGTCTGTGGGTAAGGTAGGATTCCCCACAAAGTCCCTGCTCTGGCCCCAACCCAGCAGGCAACAATTAGCACACAGGCTTTCATGATCCAATAGTTTTTCTAAAAGTCTCCCTTCTCCCACGAACTTTGCAAAGCACCAGTTGCCATCTCTCTTTTCCTGCTCAGTGAGGAAGCTAACATTCACACTGCCCCGTCGCCACCACTACCTTTGCTGAGCCTGTGTGCTCCTGACACGCCACCATCCAGGCAAGGATGAATGGGAACAACATGGCAAAACGAGAGCCAAGTGCTGGGTCACAGAAGGAATGTGGGTGACCACAGGCCAGCAGAGAACGAATGGCTTCTGTGTGTTCACGGCCCCACGCTCTTTCCCCACGTCTCTGCCAGAACCCTTAATATGAGTGCTTTAACTATACGAACTGAGAACATTCAAGCCTTACTTACCCCCTACTCCAGTTCAAACTTCCAGGACTGCAGAGTGCCCCAATTTCTAAATCTGAAAACCTTAATGATGAGAACATACAAAACCAAGTCTTTTTCACATCCACCAAGTTGTTCATTTGAGACCAACATGAGCTTTCCGTAGCCTTTCTCTACTGCCTCCCCCACTGCAGCCAACACCCCAAAGCCCGTCATACATACGTGTGTATTCACCAGGCACTCTCTACCCACAGGAAGAAATGCTTATTCAAATCATAAGAATCTGAGGCTGTCACATTTTTGTATTGTACACATTGGAAAAACGCCAATGAGACCAAATAAAATGCAAGACCATTTCAGAAAACAAAACTACACCGTTTTCTTGAAGCACAAACATAAACTTCCAGTTAGTATTTGGTAGCCTTGAGTACATCAATGACAAACATTATACAACCTAACCTGGCACCCAAAAAATTAGTTAAGAGAAATGGGGGGGGAAGTCCAAATATCTCATGGTACAAACGAAAACTTTACAGTTCCTGCAGCGTAACCTTGTATCGTGAAGGACTCAAGTTTCTTACACCATAAGAAGCAACCAGAAAAGTAATTAAATCGAGGCAATTACACTTCCCTTCCATAGCGAGGGGGAAAACCCAGGAAAAATTTACCAAGTAGAAGAGCAGCGAGAACATTCATGCCTGCTTCCTTCCCAACTCCAGCCGATCCAAGAATAAGGAGCTCACACCCAGCCAGGCTAATTTATCCTGTAAAACTTTTTCTTAAAAAAAAAAAAAAAAAAAAAAAAAGGCCATGGCTAAAAATTGGCTCTCTTTAAACAGAAGGTACTTTCAGAAGAGTTACATAAGCAAAACACACAGGCTGATTCAGTGACGCGGAGACCAGCTCACGCAACAGCAGTACGGCTGACGCCAGGGCGGCAGGACCACCCCCTGCTCCAGCCCATGTGTGGAAAGTTTCTCGTGAGAAGTTTCAATGGTCTGCTGCTGAAAGCCCCATCACATTCTCTGACTTTACAGCTCATTAACCATCTGGATTTTCAAACTTTCTTTGCCCATTTGCTTTCACCCCTTTTCCAATGCCATAAGGTTAGCACAGACCTCCTACCCTCAGGAACGGCCCGTCAGGTGCGCCAGGCATGCACATGAGGAATGGGGCACTATTGGAGGTGAACTTGGGAGACCAGCTCACAACTTCTGTTCTTCAAGCTGTGGCTTCCCAGGGCTGAGCCAGCCCCAGGTCCCCCCAGCTCGTCCACTTGCTCCTCTGGCTGAGATCACCGCCATGCCTTGGGTGGCCCTGGGGCCGGCCAGCCACTGGACTCCTACTCCTCAGGGGCAGGTGGAAAAGCAATCAGAGGGAAGACACCGCTTCCAGCACGGCAAAGATATTTGCCCAGCCTCCAGAACACAGCAGCAGAGGTTTTCATAGCAGGCAGATTCATGTGCTAAACAAACATTTACAAAATATCAACTAAGTGCTGGGCAGGGCTGGTTTCTGGGCTATGGTGGTGTGTGTGTTGGGGTGGACAAGGCTGGTTCCTGGGCTATGGCGGGGTGTGTGTGTGTGTGTGTGTGTGTGTGTGTGTGTGTGTGTGTGTGTGTTGGGGTGTGTGTGTGTGTGTGTTGGGCTGGACTGGGCAGGGCTAGTTCCTGGGCTATGGCGGTGTATGTTGGCTGGGCTGGGCAGGGCTAGTTCCTGGGCTATGGTGGGGGTGTGTGTGTGTGTGTTGGGCTGGGCAAGGCTGGTTCCTGGGCTATGGCAATGTGTGTGTGAGTGTATGTGTGTGTGTGTGTTGGGGTATGTGTGTGTGTTGGGCTGGGCAGGGCTGGTTTCTGGGCTATGGCGGTGGGGTGGGGGTGGGGGAGGGTGGATGGGGGTGGACAGGACATATTGCCCACTCTCAAAGGACAGTCCCATACACAGAACTGAACATGATGATGCTCCATGGTGAGTGAAGGGAGACTAATGGCTGTAGGGCGTCCTGGTCACAGCAAGGCAGCCACGGATGAGGGCTCCTGGGGTGAAGAGGCGGGCACTGAGAAGGGACAGATAGAAGGGAAAGATAGAGGCAGAGCCCTCCCCCAGGCAGCGGAGGGTATGGTCGGGCACAGGCATCAGGGACAAGCAGGCCAGGTGTGTGCTGGAGGATGGCCACTCTTGGGCTCCTGAGGAAGCCATAGTGGGCACAGGTGTGGACAGAACCTGAGCATGGGGAGGCTGGGTGCTGAGACCTGAGGCTGGCTTCCTTGGGAGTTGGTGCCTCATCATGCCAGAGATTACCCGTGCACAGGCTGCTGCCCACGGGTGACCTCAATGCCTGATCAAGGAGTTCCAGCCTGAGGCTTCTGCTTCTCCTGAGGCATGGCCTGGCGGGTGGCATCTAGCTGGGCTCCTCCTTGGGAATCCCAACAAAAGATATGTGAATCACCAGCCCATTGAAGAAGTTGTGCAAAAGCCAAACCCTGTCATGAGGCGCAGGCATCTGGTGCAGTGAGAGCTCTGCCATTTAACACACCTACATCAGAGTGCTTGGGTTTGAGTCCTGGCTGTGCTCCCAGCTCCAGCCTCCATGAATGCAGAGCCTGGGAGGCAGCAGTGACGGCTCCAGGAACTGGGTTCCCATGTGAGAGACCTGGATTGAGTTTCTGGTTCCTGCCTATTCTCTGGCCCAGGCAGTGAAACCGTGGATGGGAGATGTCTCTCTCTCAAAGACATACATTAAAACACCACCCAGCCACCCTCGCATGTGCCAGAACTCCTGCTTGTAAATCTCCACCACAAGCACCGACAGTAAGCAGACTGTTGTCTTCAAACTTCACTGTTCACAGGCTGTGTGGCAGCCCTCATTCCCACCAGCTTGCCCCTCAGCCCTCTCCTTCCACCCCAGTGGCAGCCCTCACTTTTCACCAGCTCGGACCTCTCTCCCCATGCCCCACCCACAGGGGCTGTCCTCATTCCCACCAGCTCAGCCCTCAGCTCCCTCCTCCCATGCCCACCCACAGGGGCTGCCCTCATTCCCACCAGCTTGCCCCATGGCCCCCTCCTCTCATGCCCACCCATAGTGGCTGCCCTCATTCCCACCAGCTTGCCCCACAGCCCCCTCCTCCCATGCCCACCCACAAGGGCAGCCCTCATTCCCACCAGCTTGAACCTCTCTCCCCACGCCCCACCCACAGGGGTAGCTCTCATTCCCACCAGCTTGTCCCACGGCCCCCTCCTCCCATGCCCACCCACAGGGACCAGCCAACCCCAACTCACAGAGCTGCAAGCTGAGGCTCAGGAAGGCCAGCAGGGCAGCCAAGGCCAGCAGCAGGAAGAAACGGTTACGGAAAAGCATTATGATCCGTTCTGCTTTGTCTTCATGGCTTCACCTTAAATTAGGCATGTGTCCTGTGGACAGAGCACAGAACAAACAAGTGATCAGCGGTAGAGGACCAAGTTTGTCAACAGAAGATCATCCAGGGAAACGTGACTGCCCTGCCCCGCTCCTACTGGAGAATAGTGGCGAACTGTGTGGTTAGTCTGTGACCCGACCCCCAAACCAGCCCCCAGCAAGCATGCTACCTACAAGTTCCCAGGAAAGCAGCTCACGAATGGGTCATTTATCTGACATTAATAGGATATTTCAGAGACGGTGACCATCCCAAAGGAAACTGTATGGGAGTCTGTCCAGCACCTATGGGTACCAGATGGTGAGGTCTCCATTCGTACCAGCTCACCCCCATGAACTTTTGAGCATCCCTTGTACAACCAACCTTCTTAGGAGCCCTGATGGACAAGAATCAGGCAAAGGCTCATGTGCTGCTGTGGTGAGGGGGGGCACGAGATTGTACGCCTGGGTAAGCCGAAAGGAGAATTACGGCTCAACAGCTGCTCTGTTGAGAAGCCTGCACATCTGCTAGCCTGATTGCCCAGGAGCCCTTCAGGAGAGTGTGAGAACCACTCCTTTAAGAACCTGACTTTCTACCCAAAAGAAAACACTAGCTAAAAGACTGACACCTGCCCTTTACAACAGAGCTGGTGCCTGGAGGTCCAGCACCCAACCTGTGCAATGAAACACAATTTTATGCTTCCAAGTGATGACTGCTTCTGTCCCTCTGAGTCACTGCATCTAACCCCTGGCCATTGTCTCCCTGTGACAAGATGATTTGCCATTCCCTCCTGGGGACCCACCCTCTCTTACTGGGGCTGGGTTGGGGGGTTAGGTTCCCTGCCATTCCCAGCTCACTGTGCATTTTACAAGCCCTCCCCCCAAAATGTTTTCTGTTTCTCAAATGTAAGCTCCCCTTAACCAGCACCCAACACACACACACATGCACACACACGACTCGGCACAACCTGGGCTTGGTGAAGGGCCAAGGCCAGGACTTCTGTCCTGAACTCTGAGTAAGAGAAGGCCAAGGTCACTATGCAGATCCAGAAAGAAGGCTTGGCCATGGTGGCCAGGCGCACTCTCCTCTGGCCACAGACAGGGTGACTCCTTCATGCTGTAGGATCCCAATTCAAGATGCAAAGCACCAGGCCCAGGGGGCTCTGTGTCCCCACCTGGCCTACAGCGTCCCTTGCCTCTGGACTCAATGGTAAACCAAAGGAACAACTCCCAAGGCAGATCCAGCCACCCTGCCCTCCTCCGTGTGCAGGCTTTACTGACTGGCTGAGCTTCCTGGTGGACGAACTTGGAAGCAACGATGTTCACCTCCAAACGCTAGCCATTGTGTTTCCATACTGGTGGGGCAACAGCGTTCTCTCTGCTGCCATCCCATTCTGGATGGGAACTCATCCTGGCAGCCCAATGCCAGGGGGGCTCTCGTCTTCACTCTGCTCCTCTGGACTTAATGCTGCTCAAACCCATCCACCTCCTTAGCTTCTCAAATTCATGCACAGTGCAGGTCAGCTCTCTGGGGCTCCTGACATCATCTTGCTCACATAGTGCAGAGCAGGCCTCTGTGTTTCCCATGCACCAAGGCAGAAAAGCCCAACGTCAAGGTTACCAGGTAGAGTTGCCAGGAAACAAAGTGAGCCCTCCTTTGGCACAGCAATTAAGCTACTACTGAGGATGCTGGCACCCCGTCAATCAGTGTCTGGGTTTCAGTCCCACCCCGGCTTCTGACTGCAGCTTCCTGCTTGTGCACATCCTCAGGCTTCAGTGAGTCCCTGGGTCTGACTCACTCTCCTGACTCACTCTCCAGATGCCCACGGCAGCCATGGCTAGGTGGGGCTGAAGCCAGAGGCACGGACTCTGACTTTCCTAAATGGGTGGTAGAGATCCAAGGACTTGAGCCTCTCAGGGTACACATCAGGAGGAAGCTGGCATTCAGAGCAAGCACTGATCCGGAATGTGGGCAGCTCACACGGCATCTCACCTGCTGTACCACGTGCCGCCCCAAGGTGATCATTTCAGCTTGGTGGGGGTGGGTGGGTGGAGAGCAGGTCATGCAGCAGGGAGAACAGGCTCAAGAAAACTGGAACCTCTGCAGTATCCACACTCCGGGGCCTCTCCTCACCCTTATGCAAGCATCTTATTCTTTCCTACCTGGGAAGATGGCCTGGGTGTGAGGGGTGTCCTTCCGTACTCTGCTCTCTGGAGGCTCTTCTGTCCTTGCTGCCCAGAGAGGCTGCTTTGTGAGACCACATCAGCAGCAAGGCACAGAGCTAGGGCATGATGCCCTGGGATCAGACACTGGACCAACTTGGTTTCATGAGGCTGGCTTGCTCAGGGGTGCTGGGAGGGTGGAAGCAAAGGCCAAGAGCAGTCACACACACAGCAGGCACACCACAGACCATGGCTGCTACCTGCTCTATCACTTGTCTCTTTGTAGTGCATGTGGCCACCTCCTATTCCTCCTGGGAGATGGGCTGTGGGATGGGGTTTTCAAAGCCATTTTTTGTTCTTCTAACATTGACAGGTTCTTCTCCACCCCCTCCCTCTGCAGCTCTGCTTCACAACCCAGGGTCGGCCCTGGGAAGTCTCCTATCCCTGATTTCTGAATGCCTGTGGAGTTTCTGCCTTCATCATCTCCCAGGTCAGACCTGCTTTGTGTTTGCACTGGGGAAGTGAAGCTCTTTGTCCGACTGCCAGACCAGGCCCTGCACCTGTGCTGCCTCCTGCCAGGCTGGGAGGATTTCTGCCTCACTGACAGGCAGTGGAAGCCACCAGGGCTTGAGGTAGCTTTCCCAGGGTTGCCAGAGCACGTCGACACCACCTTTTCTTTTTCTTTATTTTTAGATTTATTTATTTTTATTGGAAAGGCAGATTTACAGAGAAAAGAAGAGACAGAAAAGAAAGATCTCCATTCCTTGGTTCACTCCCCAAATGGCCATAATGGCTGGAGCTGAGCCAGTCTGAAGCCAAGAGCCAGAAGCTTCTTCTGGGTCTCCTGCATGAATGCAGAGGTCCCAAGGTTTTGGGCCATCTTCCACTGCTTTCCCAGGTCACAAACAGGGTACTGGATGGGATGTGGATAAGCTGGGTCATGAACTGGCATCCATATGGGATGCTGGCACTTACAGGTGGAGGATTAGCTAGCTGAGCCATTGCATGGGCCCAATATCACCTTTTCCTGGGGGATTAAACTGCAGCACATTCAGTGCTGTCTCCAGGGGGTGTTTAAGTGGACATGACTGCTACTTGCCTGGATAGAATTCCGGCTTCTGGAAGGGCAGATTTATCAAAGAAACACCTTCCCCCAATTTATTTAGGCATTTCTGGAGCAGGCCTTGTGCAGCCTCCTACACTGACTCTCATATTACACAGGTGGTTTGGCAAATGCACTGCAAGCAGAGATTCTAGAGCTTGTCCTTCCTTGCGACTTCTGCAGCACTGGGGCCATCTTGGGCAGAGGTATAGGTTCAGTAGCTGGAGAACGAGGGTCCACCTGGAGCTGAGCTGAAGCGAGCAGTCCCTGCTGAGACTCTCTTCTAACAGCAGCCAACCCATAACGCACCTTGGCCTGTGCAGCCATCCCAGAACATCTAGCTGTAGCCATGCTACCTATAGGCAATTCGCAGTAGTAGACGGCATGGCTAATCCACAGGCAAAGACTGCGTGGTTTTTAAAGATTTATGTATTTGAAAGAGCAACAAGGAGAACAGAGACTGCCTTCCAGCATCCACTGGTTCACTCCACACCAAACAGCTACAATGGCTTGGGCTGGGCCAGGCTAAAGGTAGGAGCCCGGAACTCCATCTGGGTTTCTCACATGGGTGGTAAGGGTCCACACACCTGGACTATCTTTTGCTGCCTTCCCAGGAGAAAAAGCATGGAGCTGGAGTAGAAGCAAAACAGCCAAGACTCAAGCCTATGTTCATTTGGGATGTGTGGGGGGTGTTAATTTGCTGCACCCAGTGCTGGCCCCTGTAGTGCTGTTTTAAGTCAATAAACAGAGGGTGCTCAATAAAAGCAAAAGCTAGCTAATACAAGAAAGAGGAAGTGCATTGCATCTTTACCAGGCCATTCTAAGCCAACATTCACAAGTTCCTTATGTTCATCTGCAGGCAGAACATGCCAGTCCCCACCTCGTCTACATTCTTTAATATGCCTGGTGCTGTTTGGAAAAGGGACTATATTTAGCTCTGCATGTAAGACAGAAAATACACTGGGCTAAGCAGATGGCTGGGACTCTGTCACTGCCTTACTGCTTCTAGGCTTGGCTCTGCCTACCTGTGACTTTTTATTAGAGAAACATACGAATATCCACCACTTCTCCATGATGCTCTTGGAGTTTCTGTGCCCTCTCCTACCTCATTCCCAAACCCCGACTCCCTCTGATGGACCCCAGCTCTGGCAGAGTCCTGAGCAAGGGAGTGGGCTGCTGTGAGCACAGCACAACCCCAGGGTGTACACAGTCTGGCCAGAGGTGCTCCAAGCTCCAGGATAAATACATGCTGTCTTGTGAAGCTAGAAGAGATTTGGAGACTGAAGGTCATGCGTGTTCTTAATTTTTTAGTGGCTGCATCAGGATGATTCAACCCAATATTCACATAGATTTGAAGTTTGTAACTTCAGTCAGTGCCAGGACCCCAGGGGATGGGGGATGCAGGTGTTCCACATGTGTGTGTGTGCTCATGTCCAATAAAGGACCCAGAGGGCCTGGCTCCACAGCCATGGGTTGGTCTTTGGTTTTCAGTGGGAGGGACTGGAAGGAACCCTGGGGAAGTGGAGAGGACCAGGCTCCAGGGATGGGTAGATCTGCGCTCAAATCCTGGCTCTACTTGATAGCCTCCTGGCAATGGGCTGACTACACTACTTCTAGCTGCAGGAGCCTGCCTTTCAAGTAAGACTGGAGATAAAAGCATGGAAGAGCAAGTGGCAGTGAGGGGTCAATATCCCAAGAGGCAGCACATGGAGCAGGTGCACACAGGCGCTGTTGCTAGCAAACAGACCTCTTACA